AAAGTTCCATAGTCTTTGAACTAAAAGCTACATGTAAATCCTATTTGGAAGGTAAAATGGCTAATCTTATAAGGTCAAAGGAATTTGCACATATATTCAACTAGAATTGGTACATACTAATGTATGTGGATCAATTAGTGTTCAAGCCAGAAGAGATGGTGAGTACTTCATTATATGAGTGGTTACTCTGGATTTGGACAGATGAACCTACTGAGCCATAAGTCTAAAGCTTTTGGAAATTTCCAAGAGGTTTAAGTCTGAGGCAGAATAACATGTAGGTGTTCAAATCAAAACACTTTGGTCTGACTAAAGTGTTGGCTACATGTCTGGTAAGTTCAGGTCTTACATGATTTAAGAGGGGATAGTTTTATAACTGTCAACTCTAGGAACGCGTTAGTTGGATAAGTTGCAGTATGCAGAAATCAAATATTTCTAGACTTTGTGAAGTCTGTGTTCAGTTATTCATCCTTACTAATAACATTCTAGGGAGATGCCTAAGAGAAGGAGATGTACCTTCTTAACTTGGTTCCGACAAAGTTTGTTGTAAAGACACCTAAAGAATTATGGAAAGGGTGCAAGCCCATATAAAACCGTATTCGGATTTAGGGTGCTACGGCACACGTCCTACAATAGCAGTCAAATAAGATGGAATCTTGTACGAAAGAGTGCATATTTTTTGGCTACCCTAAGAGAACCAAGGATGATTTCTTATTTCTCAAATAAGATGGAATCTTGTACGAAAGAGTGCATATTTTTTGGCTACCCTAAGAGAACCAAGGATGATTTCTTATTTAGTCTTAAGGACAAGATAATCTAAGTGAGCACTCACGTGATTTGCTTAAAGGAGGACTAGATGAGAAATTATAAGCTCTTAAGTAAGATTATTCTTGATGAGATTCATCTCAGATCAAGAATTTTCAGAATATCTAGAAGCTTCATCCACTGTTCCCTTGATTGTTCAAGAATGGAAAGATATATCTCTAGGTGAACAAACAAGGGGACAGTAATTGGAAATTCAACATGATAATATATAAATGAAACTAGTAGAAATATTAGTATCACATGTAGAAGAACAATATCAAGAATAAATGGATCCTCAAGAAATTGGAGATCCACCATTTGACCCAATCTTTGATTTATCTATAAATACACAAGGTCTAGTGCAATACATTCGTAGTAGGAGAAAACCTTGTTAACTCTCAAGTTGTCTCTTGTTGAGTAACATTGATCCTACTAGTTACGATAATGCACTAGAAGATGTTATTGATCAAGTGTTGCTCAAGCTATAAACCATGAGATGAAATACTTGTATTTCAACTCTGTTAGGTACCTAGTAAAGGCATCAAGAGGGGTAAGACCCACTAGGTGCATGTGGACCTATAAATGCAAAGAGAGGATAGACAGGAAGGTGAAAACCTTCAAAAATAGCTTGGAGGCAATTTTTGCAAGACGCCATGCTTGAGTCTATCCAGATTCTCTTAGTTGCTGCTATAACTCTTGAGATTTAATTTTGGGAGTTGGATGTTAGGATATCTGCATACAAAAACCAAAATGGTTTATAGCAAATGGGCAGAAACACATGGTATGCAAGTTGTGAAAGTTTATTTTATAAACTTAAGCAATCATCCAGGTCTTGAAACATCAGTTTTGATTAGGTTATCAAAATTTTGATTTTGAGAGAACCTTGATGAATGATGTGTATTTGTATGTAAAGGATCCAACGGAAGACAATAGCTTTTCTGGTACTTTATGTAGATGATATGCTCCTTGTTGGAAATAATGTGGAGGTAATATCAAGCATAAAGAGTTGGCTAAGTTAGTGTTTAGGTATGGAAGTACTGGGGAATCCAATTATATTTTTGGTATAAAACTCTTATGAGATCGGAAGAATAAGTTGTTGACATCACCTTAGGCTACTTACATTGACAAAACTCTTGCCAAAACTCAACATGAGAATTCTAAGAGAAGAATTATAATTCTCAGATGTGGAATTCATCTTCCTAAGGAGCAACCAAAGACTCCTGAGAAGGAAGAATGCATGAGAAGGATATCTTATGCTTTGGCAAAGGTAGTCTCATGCATATCATGTTGGGCGTTAAACCAAACATCTGTCACGCAGTGGGAGTAGTGAGACGGTAGCATTCTGAATATAGAGGAACACTAAGATTATTGTTAAGCATGTACTCAAGTATCTTTGGAGAATGAGAGATTATATGCTGGTATATTCTAGTGGGAGTCTTGAAAAGCTGAGTTTTCACAAATTCAGTTATTTCAAGTGGATATTGACTCAAGAAAATCAACCTAGAGCTATGAGTTTTACTCAACTAGGATAGGAATAGAGGTGGATCTTGTAGACCCAGTTACTAAGAGTTTGCCTGAACTTGTGTTCAAGAGGCATGTTACTTCTTTGGGTCTTAGGAGGATCCCAGACTTGCATTAAGCACGTGAGAGTTATTGGTTTCATTGTCATCTTGGAGTAAGACAATGAAACAGTGAAATCATTTTCTGAATTTCATAAATAAGGTTTTATTTATTTATTTTGCACACTATTTACAAACATCAAGGTCCAGATCAATTGTGGAGTATATGATCATGTGGATACGTTCATGGAGGACATGATCATAGGTTCTCACAATTGATGAATAGATTCACAATAACTGTTAAATAAAGTTGGGCACTTTATTTAAGCTGCAATATTTTATGAAATGGTTTTGTCCGAATCATTGTAAAATATTGGTGTGAATTAACATTCATATTGAAAGGATCAAGGAGAGATTTGATTAAGGTTGTTTTTCCGTCATAAGGTATCAAATCTCCAGTTAACTATAGTTATGTAATTACTCTTAATCCTGAGTTTATTATAAATAGGTAATCAAATAGTTTTCATTCTTTGATTTACCAATGGGTGATGTTCGATCTATTGACGGCCAATAACTCGGTATTTTGTGAGTGAGATTATTTGATTATCGATATTTATGAGATAAACAATATGGAATTTGTAGGATATGTCCCCTTGGTATGTTTCGGTACTTGGATATTAAAGATACTGGCCAGTGTATGTAATCCATTAGAGAAACTATCATAGTCAACGAAATAAATAAGGGGTTTTAGTTTGTCCTTTAACATGACCAGAAAAACTTTCCTACACACACAACATTTTGTAGGGCCCACACTTTTTAAAGCAAAAAAAAAACTATGGCACGCAAAACGAATCTCTATAACATTACACAATCACTTTTCCTACAACATAACTCTTATAAAACCCAATAAATAATTGATTGAGTTACAAAAAACTTATCAATCAATTATAGACATTCTACAAAGGGGCGATGCATATTCATGTTATAAGTGTTGTTAATCTTGAAGTTCAAGTTCAGGCTTTTAGTGGAGTAACACCGAATTAGATAATCATTCGTTGATTATCAGGAGCCTTGATTAATAACAGATGGTAGATCCCCAAGCTAGCTTGAGACAAGGGATGTGGTGTTTTTTTCAGATAGATAATAACTTGTGGGTTACATGGTCTTAGGTTTTCAACTCGAGTTTGTATCCAAAAGAGCAAGTGAGAGATTGTTGGGTTTGTGCTTTTTACATTACAAAAAGTATTACAGAGGTATCAAATACAAACAAAACAAAACAAAACAAAACCTCCAACGAAATAAAAATTCGATTGAATCCAATGATCAAATCACATAATTAAGGAATCATTCATTAGTTATAAGATTTGATTAGTCAGTTGTTAATCCTCCATTTATTGGTGCCCCCCACATCTCACTAAATCCACTTTTTATCAAAAGTTTCTAAGGTTATTTAATTTGTTCAGTTAAGTTAACAACCGACGTCATTGAAAGTTCAAACCCACGAATGAGAGAAGTATCTTCTTGTCAATCTATTATTCCCCACCAACTTGCATGTCCATTTGACATAAATTAGATTAGATGGATGATTTTACAGTTGAAAACTCAAAACTGTTACCTTCACAGATAGTGCGCTCTGGGCCTTATCTTTCAGTTTTGTCAGTCAATTTCTATTTTTATTTATTTATTTTCTATGCTAATGTTGTCAATTATCTAAACCTGTTTTTGCATGGAAGAGGAACAAATAAAAAATAAAAAAAAGATTAAGAGAATATAATATAATATGGTGGACTGGCTAACCAATGAGTTTACAGCTGTAGTTAACATAATGAATCCTAATTAGTTTACACTCTAGTCTAGTTAGTTATTTGAGCTAATTAAGCATATATATTTATTATTATTATTATTATTATTATATGATCATTCCTCGTTATATGAACCTTATTATCCTTTTGTGGGATTATTGGCAAATCTTAGGTGGTGATATTTCACTTGATTTGTATGTATCCTTGCTTTTTCGGTTTCAGTCGGCATCAATTTTGGTGTCTGCTGATGTAAGTACCTTCTGCATTTTGTGGCTGTGGTAATTCTGCATTTTTCCTAGTATATACTATCATGGGCATTATTGCACTAATAATAATTAAAATACCCTTTTGGATTTTTTAATGGTATGGGCTAGTTTTTGTTATTGACTAGTTGCTTGATTAAATATGAAAAACTAATATAAAGAAATAACTTTATGTAATTTGTCATTCCTACTCCCCATTGAATACTATTCATACAACAATTTTGTTTGTTGGTACTGGCTCAGTGATTTATCTTTCAGAAATAGTTAGTTATATATATATATATATGATCTATTGAAAGTGACATTTGGCATTGTTGGACTTCCTTTTGGGTTTTTATTGAAAATTCAATTAAGGTGAGCATGTTTTCCTGTTTTATTATCATATAATAGCTAAGTGCAGTGAGGACCAGTAGTATTCTTTTTTTTTTCCATTATGCAAGTTGTGTCTTGTTGATATAGTCATGCATTTTCTGTCTTTTTCTATTTGGTTTTCTATAAGGATCTCCCTTCAATTGTGCATTCAAATAACTCCAACTTGGTTTTATTAGTTGTTACAAAAATGAGAAGACATCTTATTTAAATATTAACTGCCATGTAGTGCCTAACAAATGCCAGTGACTGCTTTCATACTTAAGAGCTTGAGCTTTGAAAGTCTGGCACAGTACACAAGTGCTTTTGGGTTCAGTTATAGTAGTTTTTTAGCTTGAGTAGGCAATGAAAGCAAGGAGAGGAAAACGCTCTGAGGTAAGCTATGTGACATGCCTCATAAACTTTATTATGGCTGGTGTTTGAGGTTAAGTATCAGCTTATGATTCTTGAAAACTTCTAATTTCGTTTCATTGCAGGCCTTTTGGCCCTCCATTATGATGAAGAAATGGTTAAATATAAAGCCAAAAGTAAATGATTTTAGTGAAGATGAAGTGGACACTGAAACTGAGAGTGAAGATGATGGTATTATGCTTTACATTATACTATATTCTTTTTCTTGTTTAACTTGATCTTTTTCTTTCACGTTTCATTTTTTCCCTTCTTTGTTTTTTCAATTCTCTTCCAGCTTGCTCTCTTAAGGATTCAAGAATGGGAGTGCGTGAAGATAATCCACTTAGAACACAATCCATATTCCCATGTCAAACATCAGGCAATACTTTATTCCTTTGCAGTAACCAAGAAATATACAAAATGATTGACTAATTACTATACAAATTTCAATATGTTACTAACCATGAGGTATACAAAATTAAAGAAACTTTTTAAAGCCAACAATAGCTTGACTAGTATTGTGAACTTCAAATGATTGACTGTTTTTGGCCCCTGATGAGTTGAGAGTGTTAAATTCATCATCACATATGATTTGATATTTGTAATTCAGATGCATCGCGTAATACCAAGGGATACAAGATGAGACACAGAAGAGGGAAATCAGAAACTTTGCGTGTTCAGTACATAAATACCAAGGAAGTGAGGTATGGTGGTAATCTGGTTATGTAACATGTTATTAATTTAAGGGATATATTTTTCTCATGTTGCATGAGATAAATTATCTCATGCAACACACAAAAATATGGGTATAATCCACTTTTTTCTTTTCTCTCTTTTCTTCTTACAGGATCTTACTCACTTTTTTGTGTGTTGCATGAGACAATTTATCTCATACAACATGAGAAAAACATTTCTCTTAATTTAATGATATTAATGAAATGCATGGTTATTTTGCAGGGTAACAATTGGAACTTGGAATGTTGCTGGAAGACTTCCATTGAAGGATCTTGAAATCGAGGACTGGCTTTGTACCAAAGTGCCAGCAGATATTTACATTATTGGGTAAGTAGTTTCTACTTTCTCGAGTTTCCTAATGCTTTGCTATTTCTACTTTGTTTAGGGTGCATATGTGTGTTCTGTGTTTGCTTCTTCAACATATTGACAAAAAATTTGATCACTCAGGATATTTTTGGCAATACTCATTATAATATTGGATTACATTTCATTATAACCTGATAGGTTACATACCTTTACTTTTACAGTTATCTTGTTTATGATAAAATTAACGTAGTTTCATTTTTGTTAAGTGTATTGATTAATTTAGGGAAAACTATTTGTCATTTTAACGAAACTACGTTGTTTTTGTGTGTTTTGTCATTTTCTTTTTTTATAAAATTAGGAAGAAAAAGAAAGCGAAGGAGAGAGAATGTAAAAACATACCAAAACGACGTAGTTTCATTAAAAATGACATAACTTTATGTCATTTAAAATGACAAACACTTCTCCCGTTAATTTATCATGATCCTATTTCCCCCCTATTTATCTACTTTGTTTTATTTACAGAGTGCGAGTCTGATAATTTTTTATCAAATAAGTCCAAAAAAGAGATTTATTGGTGCAATATGCCACTCATGACAATACCTTCCTTTTATATATAATTAGGTAAGTGCTCTGATTGATCATAGGTTCATGTTTTGTAGATGGAAATGCCTACTTATTTCCAAACAATTGTTTCCTTTAGGAAGAAAACAAAGCTATCATGTTCTTAGAAATACAGCAACCACCCATTAGCTATATTTAAGGTTGTTCCAAGTCTCCAAAAAAATGGCCTAGAATCCTATTTGCATCATGTTATAAGTGAAGTTATTATAGAATGGGATGGTGAATTTTCATTAATATGGTTTATGAGAATGAATCTAGTCTTTTTAACTCAATTGATATGAGAAACTTCTCTTCCATTCCTTATGAATTTATTGTCAAATGCGCAATCCATATTTAGAGTCTAACAGTAGGTTCATGTAGTTTATTACGAGTATATTATTAAGAGTCTACTTCTCTACAGTGGTTGTAAAATTTATCTTCTGATGGCTTCTATGTCATTGGCTTCCATATTAATGCACTGCTTTAAACAGTTTCCAAGAGGTAGTTCCATTGAATGCTGGAAATGTACTGGGAGCAGAGGATAACACACCCATCGCAAAATGGGAGGCAGTGATACGAAGAACTCTAAACAAAACTTCTGAACCTGCAAGTAAACACAAAAGTTATAGTGCTCCCCCTTCTCCTGTCTTAAGAACTTCTGCTTCTGATGATGTCCTAGCAGACAGTGTAGATGTTAATCCACTTGATATGATGAATGAGGACTATTTAGGAACCTTTGACAACAACGAGCTAGAACAGGAGGAAGTGAAAAGCATAATTGGTATAGGAAAGAATATAAGGTTGAGGAGAATATATGGCATTGATCTTCATACTACACTTGACTGGCCTGAACGTCCATTAGATGCAATCCCTCATGTTGATTCCAATCCAAAGTTGCGTAGAGTACTTAGCAGTTCATCCTTTAACTGGACGGATAATACTTTAATATACAGCAATGGATTGAAACGTTCACACCATAGTTCTGGAAATTTGGGTTTGTTCTGGAAAGAGCAACAAGTGATGCCTGAGGTAATTGATGATTCACTTGCTGAATTATCTGACATGTTGTCTGATGAGGAAGATGATAATTTTTTTGAATTACCAAATAACAAAGATGATAATGGAATAGGAACCATGAAATCACATCATAAGTATGTTCGGATTGTCAGCAAGCAGATGGTAGGAATATATGTGTCTGTTTGGGTGCAAAGGAGGTTGAGAAGGCACATTAACAATTTGAAAGTTTCTCCTGTTGGAGTTGGTCTCATGGGCTACATGGGAAACAAGGTAATGGCATAATACAAGTTTCACACTGAATTTGACATCATTATACCATAAGTGTATATTTAATCTATTCCAAGACATTAGAAATTTCACTAAAGTGTTAACAAGGCAGCATAAAACTTTTCAACAGCATAGTACGTGATACATGCATATCTGAGTCTAGTATGCATTTTATGATCACTGGTACTGTCAGTACAAGAGTTTATAGACTGATCACATAGCAACTCATAATGTTGTGGTAGGGTAACTCGCAAAAAGTAGTGTCTTATTTGTTCACTTATGTTGCACCTCATATAAAACCAAACTAAACTGAACCATATGTCTTATTTGTTCACTTTTGTTGCAGCTTTTGAGGCAAAAAGTAGTGTCCTCCGTATTATGTTGTGTTGCAATGTGATCAGTGGTAGGCTATGAGCAAATTTGAACGTAGAGCATAAGAAAACTCACGATTTATATGCATTTACAGTTAGAACTTGTTCATTCTAACATGAGTGGACGTGATAACAAATTATCACTGATGCAGGGTTCTGTTTCAGTTAGTATGTCTCTCTATCAGTCACGTCTGTGCTTTGTTTGTTCCCATCTGACTTCTGGACATAAGGATGGGGCGGAACAGAGAAGAAACTCAGATGTTCATGAAATTCTAAGACGCACTTGTTTCTCGTCTGTCTTTGATGCAGATCAACCACAAACAATCCCATCTCACGAGTAAGTTTTTCTTTAGTTTGAAAGTTTTTCTTTTATAATCACCTTATTATGGGATATATTGCTTGTGGTAGATTTTTGGGAGTTCACATCATTGTGTTATGAATGAACATCTTGGATTCATTGATGGATTGCTTCCTGCTAACAGTCAGATTTTCTGGTTTGGGGATTTGAATTATCGTATCAACATGTTGGATGTGGAAGTTCGAAGGCTGGTAGCTCTAAAGAAGTGGGATGAACTGATGAATCATGATCAGGTGAGAATTATAAAACTTAGACATACCATTGGTCTCCACAATAATATTCATCCACCACCGATCCCAATTAATTTGGGATAAATGTGTTGTTAATGTTGATCACTTCTTCAAAATTTGCAACCTACAAAATCTAGACCTATAAAGTTGCAAAAGGGGTCGGAAGTGTTGGCACCAAACTTGGATCCACTTGTTGATCTGCATATGATTTTTATCAATGAGAATTTCTAATTACTTCATCTTATTTGCAGCTAAGCAATGAATTACGTTGTGGGCATGTATTTGATGGGTGGAAAGAGGGGTTGATAAACTTCCCACCTACTTACAAGTATGAATTTAATTCTGATAAATATGTCGGTGAGAACCCAAAAGAAGGGGAAAAGAAGAGAACTCCAGCCTGGTAAGTGCAAGTTTGGATTGCAAAGCAATGAAAGTTTTGTTAGTCCATGCATTAGATCTTTTATTATTCATTAGGCAAAAGTAAGATGCAATTAAGTGATCCTAGTTAATACTATACAGGTGTGATCGTATATTGTGGCTAGGAAAAGGGATAAAGCAACTTCAATATAGCAGTGCAGAAAATAAGCTTTCAGATCATCGACCAGTTAGTTCAATCTTCTCGGTTGATGTTGAAGTATTTGACCACCGCAAGCTACAACGAGCTCTAATTTTCACAAATGCAGCAATACACCCGGAGGTTTTCCTTAAAGAGGATGAGGACCTGTTATCATAATAGATATCCACCAAAGATTGGTATCTGCAAATGTATCAATTACTGGTAACTATATTTACACCTTGTCTCTCTTTTCAGCAATCCAATTCATAAGCTGTTATCTAGGAAATGCTTTTTGGATAATACAGATAAAGAATAATAGTCGATTACTCCATGAAGGTGCATTTTATATAAATTATGTGGTTGATAATAATTCACTTAACGTTGAAAATCTTTTTGATACAAGTCAAAGAACCCATCTCTTGATGTTTTTTAAGCACCAAAATTTCAGGTGACCTCATGATTATGATATTCAAGTGCCCTTGTTTTAGAGACATTAAGCACAGCCTTGTTTTAGAGACACATTGCAATTCAACTTTGTCCTTCAAATAGGACAACTTTCACCATGGTTTGTTCTCCCGCAGGGTGTTAAAATCTTCACTTGGATGTCAGGTTGATAATGAGAGACAACTGGTAATCTGTTTATAAACTGAGCTTCAAGACCTCAAGATTACACTACACGAAGCCTACATTTTGAGAGTCATTCATTTGGCGAATCTGAATCAGTTACATGGAAGAGATAGTTATAACAGGCAGATGTATATAGGAAAACAATAGGATATATTGTGTGGGACTCTCTTTTTTTGCTGTGTTTAATATTTGGTAAACAACGATTTTCCAATTTTGGTCTTCTAAGTTGCGCGTCCAATTAGTTTTTATTTTCTCTTTTGACTAATAAACATTTTTAGTCTAGAAACATTCCATGTCCAAATAGTTTTTGTTTTATCTTTTGACTAATAAACATTTTTACCCTAGAAACATTCCATGTCTGACTCAAATGCAATATATCAGTTAGAGAGGCAGGAGACACAGAATTTGAATCTTTCCATGTCTGGCTTGGTTTCTGCCTGTTTGTCACTCTTTGTTCTGTATTCGTCCAGTTCTAGACTTTAGGCAACTCCCCATTCTTCGTCATTTACTTCAACGGAGCTTGACACTCTTAATGATTGAGTTCTCTATTTTGTAGATTTTTTCTTTGTCGTGTATTTTCTGACCGGGTAATGGGAATTCTTAATTTTCACCTCTATCAAAAGAACATAATGACCATGACCCTAGGTCTATGCATTGACAATTTCATCACTATTACATTGTTGAAAAACAGGGCCTTGGTCCTTCTGGACAGCATTGAGGGCATCACAAGTGAAAAGTAGCTGCATTAAAATTTTAAACATCAAAGAGTAGGGCAGCAATAATTCCCTTTCATGATAAGGAGCTGCGTTTATCTAATCCTAAGGGGCCAAATGAATGTTGTTAATAAATCTTTTGAAACATGGAAGAAGGGCTCAGTTCATCTCTCTATTCCAAATTCTTTTTTGAGGAACTGAATCATCAACCCCAAAAGAAACCATTCAATGCAATGCAATGCAGAGAAGCATAACAAAACAAAAGGTACTAATTATTCCCAATGAAAATTGGCAAAAGTTTTGGGCATCAGTTCTCCAAGGTGATATAGCATCAAAGTAATTAATTCAGACGCAAATTACCCATTTGTATAATGAGATTCATCACATGCCCAATCACGATTTTGATTTCAATTTTCAAACCGTGAAAAAAATAATGTTAAAAACTTTCAATCAAGTGTATTAATAGACTCCATTCCATTGGTGACCAAAAAATTAAAAGGGATCCAAAACAACATTTACAAAAAAGAAAAAAGAAAAAAAGAGGGAATGAAGATAGCGATCAGAACCTGTCGGGATTCATGAATACATCACACGAATATCAGCGGATTGACAGACGAATGAATTGCTATCATCACTTCGCTTTTCCCTCTCAATCAAACCCAATTACCAATAAAATAATTGCTACCATTAAAAGCGAAACTTAACCTAAAATAAAACAAGTGGTATTTGAGAAAATTAGAAAATTAAAAATAAAATAAAAAAGTTTCGATGTTGAGCTCAGAACTTCTTAGAGGATAAGTGAGCCATCAGCGACGAGCACAACAGATGACTCGCCTCTGGCACAGTTACTTCTTCATCACAGACTCAGTATCTTCGTATGAACATTACAAACTACTGGTTTTGAAAAGAATTTTCTTGGGAAAAAAAAAACCGTTGAACAAATTCAGTGGACAAATGCATGCAAGGAACGAAAGCAATAAAGTAGAATTGCCCGCAGTTGTGCGGTTTTCTGATCGACGACGATGAAGTTGGCTATAATTTTATAGGTGAAAATTAGGGTTCCATCAACTTAGGCACGACTAGGGTTCTGCTCAGCAGCAACAAGGATTAGAGACCCGGTTGGATTTAAATTTACCTTTTGGGGGCCCAATAAGTCATTATCTACTATATTACCCTAAGGGTGATTGGGAAATGGCCCATTAGGCCCGCAATATATTTATAAATAAATCTGCATATAAAAAAGGATTTATCGTTTATCCGGCAACATGAAATAAAGTTATCTCCGTTAACCTCCAAATAACGTCTTTTGGGGATTAAAAAAACTAATGAGGAGTGTTTTGATAAAGGGTTTTATAAAAGTTATGTTGTAGGAAAAGTGATTGTGTAATATTATAGAGATTCGTTTTGCGTGCCTTAGTTTTTTTTTGCTTTAAAAAGTGCGGGCCCCACAAAATGTTGTATGAGTAGAAAAAAATTTTGTGTCATGTTAAAGGACAAAACGAAAACCCTTTGATAAAATGCATATAACGCAAATTAAATTAAAATTGTTAAAATACCATTTATTAATTCTTCCAACCCCAAAACAATATAATTTTGAGGTTGATGGATATGAATTTATATCATATTGATGAAGAAACAACAAAATAATATTGTTTTGGGATTGAAAAAAAAAATTATAATAATAAAAATTAATATAACTAAAATAAATTACAATTGAAAAAAAAAAAAAACAGACATTCACAAGATTGAATGGAGTGTTTACGATTTACAGTGTGCTTTAATTACGCAATAGTTTTCCTTCTATAATATGAGGAGGGATATTCTTACTACCAAAATCTTCTACTACCAACTCACTACCTATCTAATAACCATTGGATCAACATTTTTTCTTTTTTCAAAAACTTTTTAACATTCTCTCTCTTTGATTCAATGGTGATTAGATAGATAGTAAGTTAGTAGTAAAAAAATTTGGTTGTAAGAATATCCTTCCTCCTATAATATTTAGTTTGCAAAACAAAACCTTGGGATTTGGGGTGGGGATGACGAATTCAAACCTTGTCATCTTCATATACCCACATAAGATAAGCATTTGATATTCAATTTTTCAACCAATGGTCTATGAACACGAATTGATTGCCCGCTTTCATCTGGTTCATGAGGACAAAAGTGCTTAAATAATTTTATACCTAAAATGAACAAGGTAGAGCAAATTTCAATTTGAAGAATATTACACTCAGTAATTAAATTTTAAAGTTATATATATCTTATTTATTTAAAAAACATATGCACTTTATAAAAAATAAAAATAAAAAACCAGTTGGTAATATAGGTGTATAGGCTTTCGGCAATGAGACTGCATGGTTTAGCTTAACCAGCCCTGTACCCAATATCATTAGCCTTTACCGGCTCCCATTCATCCTTTTTGAGAAGAATACCTAAACTCGTCCCCATGAAAATATAGTCCACACCGTCCCAGCCCACGCTTGTAAAAATTTCAAAAATTTATGCCACAGCATAATTAATCTCAATCTTAAAAATTAACAAACATCTTATATAATTGAAAGACATGCTAATACTTTCCCCACATGGTGGGGTGTCCACGGGGCAGGTTGACAAGCCTAATTTATATATTTGTATAATATAAGATTGTCATCTACAACCATAACATCTGAAATTGAACAGCCCAAAATAATGGGCGAGAAATGAAAAAAAAGACTTGAGTACAAAATAAACAAAATATGTATTGATTAAATTAACTGTTAAGAGAGTAATATTGAGGGCTTTATTACTCTCGTTTCACTCCAGAGAAATTTTTTCTCCCGCTGACACTTTGATTTCCGCGAATTGCTTCTTATTTTTTTTTTCAAATAGTGGGCCCCACTATTTATTATCTCAGCTGCAAAAACAAATTTCTCTGCTGTAAAAGAAGAGAAATAAAACCCTAATATTGATTGTTCACTGAAAAATACTGCTGACTGAGCTATCATCGTGAATACGCCAAATAGTTTCCCCCAACATGTTTGCTACTGTAAGAATAGTTAACTGGGGGAAATAGTTCTTCTCCGCAACTGGAATGGTATTTGTAATAATCACCTCTTGAAATAAGCCACCGGACAACCTCTCGATTGCAGGAGGGCTGTGATTATTCAAATAAAACAAAACAAAAGCATAATATGATACTGGTTCATTCATATATTATGCTTAACATGAATGAATGCCGCAATCAACACATTTATGCGGTGAAGGTTTAGAGTAAAGCATCTCTGCTCAAGCAATTTATTAGCCGATTGATGCGTAGGAGAGAAAACAATGCCCCATAGGCTGACTAACAATACTGATTACTGAATAATTAGCAATTAGTGTGATAAAATAAGTGTAGGTAAACTGTTGGAAATTGAAGAACAAATGATTAAACATGCTTCAGATTTAGGCAGTGCACTGTAGAGTCTGAAACTTTGCCTACTTCTATTATCTATTTGGAAAGGAACAAGAATAAAAATGTATGGCAGAACCAAAGGCAATACCTGAAAACAGCATGAGTGCAGCATGCATAAACTTCCCTGGCCCCCTCTTCATGTAATAGTGCCGCACCCTTAGAGATGGTCCCTGAGGTCCAAAACAATTAGAATAAGAAACCTACCAACAAATATTAATAAAGAAAAGGGAAAAAGAAACCAATACAACCATCATACTTGCCTACACAACAAAGAGCGATATTTCGTATAACATTACTTAGTACTTTTCACTGAAATGTTCTTGTGCATTTTATGTAAAAAAAAAAAAAAATCACTCCCCGTTAAACCCGACTAGCGAGTGTGGGGTGGAGGAAATCCTTGTACGCAGCCTTACCCTTGCATAATTGCAAAGAGGCTGTTTCCTGGATTCGAATCCATGACCTTTCAATCATGAAAGAACAGTTTTATCACTGCTTCGGTTCGCCCCCTTTTCTTGTGCATTTTATGTATGTAAAAAAATGCTAAATTCCAAACATGATTTACTTCTTGCATACTTCAAAAAGTACTTCTTGAGTATTATTTTATATAGACATCTTGCAAACTTTTCATGATTATTATATTCCGAGAAATGAAATACATATAAGAGAAAACGGAAAAGTATTTGTCATTAAAGGACACAACTTTGTGTCATTTAAAATAAAACGATCGTGTTTTGGTGCATATTTGATGGTTTTTTATATACTCTCTTCTCCACAAATTAAGAGGAGAGAGAAAATAGAGTATTGTCGAGAAGAAAAAAGGTTAAAAACCACCAAAATACAATAGTTTCACTTAAAATGACACAAAGTTGTGTCCTTTAAAATGACAAACATTTTCCCCGTAAGAAAATGCAATCTGAACCTTTCTAGTAGCAATCAATCATCTTCTCGAGCAAATACAAGAGATAGAATAAGATTGTAATTATTTTTTCCTCCATTACTGCCATAAAATAGTATTTATTATTTAGTAATAAATTCCTAGTCTCTAAAGTTACATTCAGCAGTTCCCTAAAAGAATATATGTTTATGTAAATTATGATGGAAATATTTTAAAAATTAGGAACACCCAAATATGCTAATAAGTTTGGGATATGTTCGATAAAACTTCATCTCAAAAGATAGTAATTAAGAGTTCGATCTTAATTCTTAAGATGTGGCCAGTCCAGGAAAATGCACTAAGCAAAACAGAAAGGCAGAGCTGCAAAGGGAACATTATAGAGAAAAAAATATATCAAGAAAAGGTCTAGAATGAACATAAAACTTCACAAAAAAGCTTTAATTAATCAAGACAAGCTAAGTATTTGTTGCTTGGTTATATTTCTTTGACCCAACAAGTAACCATCATATGCAACAAAAAAGCACAGGAAAAATAATCTCTCTTTTCAAATGTTAAATTGGGCAATGACGATGGCATACCAGCAGTGTCAATCATATCATCCACCATTACTGCAACTTTTCCTTTTACATCACCAATCAGGTTCATCACCTGCAGGGCTTACACAAGACAGATAAATAAATATACGTTGAAAGGTCCATGTAGTTAACGTTAATTTATCCCTCTGGAGAACTAGTACAATATAGTATAGTATCATGCTAAACCATGTGCACGTTCAAAAAAAAACAAAAGAAAATAGGGGTCCCTCATCCCCAGCCTATGAAGCACCGATTCCGACATGGCGTTCCGATACGTCCCGATACGGGACATTGATACGTTACTAAATATGAGTATAAAATATGAAAATCTAAACAGCACCCATTATTTACATCCACGTCATGTATTTTGTTTATTTTAATTTTCTGCATTATTTATTTAGTTTTATTATAATTACTTGCCTTTTTAATTTTATGATATTTTACCACAACAAATAATTACTTTAAAAAAACTACCAGCCCAAGATTAATGGGCTTAGTGTACCAAGCCACCGAAACAAACTACATGGCCAAATCTTTCTTGGGCTCTTGAAAACCTAATCTTTACTTTCTTGAAAACCTACAAGCATCTCAAGCTTAGTTTTGACGGCTAGTTTTAAGGAAGATAAAAAAAACATACAATGGTGATGTGTTGCAGCAGGAAGATGAAGAAGACTGGCGGATTAGCAAGATGGCGCGCAGACCTATGGTTCGCAAACGACGAGGAGGAGCTCGAGGTGGCTCTACGGTGGTGCATGCGGCGGTTGGCTACTGGTGCGCGATGGAGATGGGAGATTTGACCATATCGGATGTTGTTAACCCATCTGATACGGCAAAATGGGTATCAGAAGCATATCCGTTTGGGATGTGTGTCCGATACGTTGGAAAAAAAAATTTGGACGTATCAGTGCTTCATAGTCCCCAGCAAATACCGATGTAACGTGTATTGGCCAATGATGAAATACCTTCTTATATGCCACTCAAATATCTAACCAACCACAAAAAGTCAGAGTTTTAGTCTTACTATTGGAGTATCATGATTCCTCTGGAACTTAAATCCTTCACATGGTTGTCAAAATCTGAGCCTAGACAACAATAAGACAGTGCCTTGTATCGAGGCTGGATGGGTATAGCCGTATAGGTTCTGAATGATTCTACTATTCCAATTTTATCACAACCTAAAAAGAACAATGAATGATATACATACCTAACAAAGCTAGTCAAAATTAGAAATATCATTGTAACTTCTATAAAAACGTACACTATCCTACTATGCACTTGAAGTAGGACCAAAGCACACTACAGCCCTGCAGCATTACTTCCAATCATGATGAGCAGATATTATAACAGGGAAGCATCTTTCTTACTGACTTCTATCTTTTTCAAATGGAAATTAGATGATGTCAGCAAAACCACTAAACAAAACACGCACCAAATATCCATAATCAATGGCCACATTGTTGGTTAATCAAAGTGTCCCAGAGAGGGCAAATTTATTTCAGGAAAGAAAATAGTCATTGATAAGTAACACTAAGAAAAACAAAAATAAACCCTGTTTGAAAGTATAATCGCATACATGAATGACAATTTCAAAAGAAATGCAGCATGTCAAGGATAATGCACAGATTTTGTTGCAGTTATTACCTCAGCTACATTATGTCCGTGACGCCTTTTGTCTACAATAGCTAAAGGTGCATCAGATAATTTCTTTGCAAAAGCACGTGCTCTTGCAACACCACCAACATCAGGGGAAACAACAACCAAGTCATTTGAACTTATTGTCTTGCTGGCAAGATAATCAAGGATCACAGGCTAGTGGACATCATAAACAATAGTATTAGGAAACATGTTGTGAAAAAAATAACTAAAACCATTCACACCTTACTTACTTGACAATGTACATGATCCACAGGAATATCAAAGTAACCCATGGACTGCCCTGAATGAAGGTCACAAGCAAGAACGCGGTCTGCCCCAGCTTTTGTAATAAGGTTTGCAACAAGTTTAGCTGCAATTGATTCACGCCCTTGAGTCTGTAAAGGAAGAAAATAAATTAGAAAAGCTCCAGTAATTGCTTATAAACCCATTGGTTAGCTTCAAGTTCATCATAAAGCAAAAAGCGAAACCAACCCAGGTGACAATTTTTTCAATACAAAGACAAAGACAACATCAAATTATTTCTCCACTTAATTGTGCACGAGGGATTTGGGGGGTTCAACAGAAACATCACAAAACTGTCGCAAAAATTTCCAGAAAGAAGAACAAAAGTACATTACAGTGGTAAACCAACGAGAATCTTGTCTGACATTGTATGTGATAAGTAGATCTCATATAAAACTACGGATTACAAAAGTTTAAATCAGATACATGCAAAACACTTGCCTTTCTATCAGCTCTGGCATATCCAAAGTATGGAATCACGGCAGTGATATTTTTGGCAGAAGCTCGCCGACAAGCATCAATCATTATTTTAAGTTCCATGAGATTCTCGTTTGCAGGAGGGCAGGTTGGCTGTATAAGGTACACATTGCAACCTCTAACACTCTCTTGCAACTGGATATAGATTTCCCCATCAGCAAATCGCTTTATGGAAACCTTTCCAAGTTCCAGGCCCATGTACCCGGCAATTTCCTAGTTGAAGAAGCAACATGGAGTTTAAAAAACAACAAAACTCAGCAGAAACCTGTCCATTAGAAAGATGGCTCATCCAACTATAACTTGTTTCCAGGGACCAAAGGGTTTTATTAACCACTAATCACTCAGATTCTGAATTCAAAAAACAAGCCTTTTATGTACAAAAAAAAAAAAAAAAGCCTTTTAGCCTTTTACAGTACCTACAAACATGATACACACCACTGTGCTAGACGACACCTTAAACACAATCTGATATCTTCGTTCAATTATTATATTGATCCTTTGAATCAGAAGTACAATTATAAACATTTATTCAGTTAAATAGCTAATTTCATAGTCAAAGTAGTATTTTTTTTTTTAAAAAAAAAATCAAATATTAATGGAATAAATATTTGATTATAGTCATTACTAAATGTTAAAGCAAAGAATAGTGGAATTACCTGGGAAAGTGTAGGGTTGGCAGTGCCAGAAAACAATTTCAACCTGTTGCTGTTTCTGTTGATGGTTTTCTCAATCCTTGCCGATTCCATGAACTTGGGCAGCGTCGGTTCGTTAAGGACGGGAATGATCGGTTTCCCATTTAGAAGATTTGATGATTCAGCCATATCACATTTCTGGCACAACAACCATTAAAATAAAAAATAAAAAACAAAAAAAACACACAACATTTTCATGTGTAAATTATTATTATTTTTTTAAAATAATAATAAATTTAAATGGATGATTACCACGCTATTAGGTGTGAAAATTCGAGTGCGAGAATAATCAACAAAACCCAGAGTTCGAAGAGTAGGGGCATGAGAAGTGCCATCGAAGAGAGAAGAAGAAGCAAAAGCCATCGTCGAAGACGACGAAGGTTGAAAGAGTGAGGACGCCATGTGTAGAGGAACCAGAGGATGTGTCGTCGTTAGGGTTTTCCTTTTTCGCTTTTTCTCTGCAACTGAGAGAGAGAGAGGTTTCGAGTAGAACAGAGCGAGTTTTGAGCTCTGTTACCTGTGGCGGGCGGGTCTATGTTTTTTTCACGAGATTCGCTTTTTCATGTGTGTCGCCGAGGAAGGGGACCACTGTACGACGTCGTTTTATTAGAAATACTTGTCAATAAAAATACAGTTCTTTATAATTCTATTTAATGTTCATTAAAAAATACATACGAATATTAAATAAAATGGAAAAATATTCTGATAATCAAGTTGTGTTACTATCAAGTGACTACCAATTAATCTCACCGTTAGATCGATTATGTTGATCCAACGGTTATATTTATTTTCATCTTTATATGGTCATGGTTTCACATATTTAAAGTGAAATCATTAAATATGAGAAATCATAACCATACAAAGGTGGAAATAAATATAAAAGTATTAAATTTGGGAAATTATGATCATACAAAAATAGAAATAAATATAACCGTTGGATCAACATAATCGATCTAACGGTGAGATTAATTGGTAATCACTTGGTAGTAACACAACTTAGTTGTTACAATATCCTTTCCATAAATAAAATTATCAAAAAGTAATTTTAAAATTTTTAAACCTTAACAAATAATATCTTTTTTTTCTTTACATGGTATCGTTTTAATTTAATAATAAAATTAATGAGAAAGAGACAGAGAGTGTGATATAGAGAAAGAGATGAGGAATTTGTCCTTTCGCAACCGTGTATGAGTGGAATTGGTATACTACCAAAATAGGGTGCTCTTTTGGGTTTGGTGGGTTTCGGTTAGTCAAAATCTTAGTAACTCAAATAAAGCTAAAAAAAAAAGTGCATGTTCTTGATTGCGAAGTTGAGGCCTCTATATGTCGCTAGTTTTGGTTCGTTGAATAGCATTTTGGTGGTTGAATGAATATATTCATGCACCACCAAGCACCAATTTAATGTTCCCCCACCTTTTCTTTTTCTTTTGGACCTTTCCTTTTTTGAGACAATAATAAAGAAATTTTGTTCCTACACTCATCTAAGGTTATGTTTGAAAGTTTTTAAGAAGATAGGGTGAAATCATTTATAACAAAATGATTTAGAATGAAGTATTATAAAATGGTAAAAAATACAACTCAATTATTTAGAAGTTTTGGGATACATTTACAATTGGCTCAATCAATTAACGGGTTGATTCAAGAAATCAAGTCTCAATTCAATTTATAATTCATCAAACATGGCACACATGCTCAAGAAAATTTGCATGTTTTGAAGATTAAAATTTGGAATGTATTTGCTTACCAAAAAAAAAAAAATTGGAATGTATTTTAAGTTTGATTGATTTCATGTTTCTATTTGTTTTGTCCTTGAGACAGAGATGTCTAGCCCAGTCAGGCTAGTACGTTAATATTGGATCTGATGCCCTCTCCAATGTATCTATGAGGGAGATACCCTTGAGTCAAGGAGATCACTGTGCACAGAATACTATAACGGCGTTAGCCAATGGGGTGTGTGTATGCACAGTGACAGCATAACAATAAGAGAGAATGTGTGTACCTTTAGGGTTTGCCCTGGTATTTATAGAGGTTACCTGTAGATAGTCTGGATAGCTATGCTGACACAATAAGATTAGTAGGATTTAATTAACATCAATCCATATCTTGGATTGCCCCTTGTTGGGCTTACCACTTAATGGGCCCATCATATGGGTCCATAACAGTTGCCCCTCAGCCGGGCTACCTAGGTATCCGGGTAGTCGGGATGAACCTATGAGTGCCTTTTTCCCAGTTATTAACTCTCGAATGTGTTTGTGCTTTTGTAGACTTGCATGCTCTTCTGACGAGCGATTTCTTTTTTCTCACGGGATGTTCTTTGCCCCCCTTATGCCGACGGGTTGAGTATCAACCCGGTGGAATATTTTGGGTACCCTGCAATGTTTGAACCAGGTAAAATGCCGATCTGTCGGGTTGCCTCCCAATGTCGGCAGACATGTTGCTTTCGGGTTCTTATCTTCCCTATGTGCAGCGTCATTTTTCCTCGTTTTGCCTTGCTGGTTGAGCATCAACCATATTGCCATTCTGAGTTAGGAATACGCTTGAGTTGTTTGATCCTACTTGCGGATTGCCCCCAAGTGGTATTCCTCATCTCAGAATGCATCTGCATATTCATATTGTCAACGGTTGTGCATGATCCCGTCGGTATTTTCATGAAGAACCCGCGTCGGCATTGTACCCGAGTTACGAGGGCATGCATGTATGCCTACTGCTTCCTTGTGTAGCCGGCTAGAAGCTGTGCTGAAATAACCTTGAGTTGACTATTACCCCAACATCAGCTCCGAACTCGGTGAACAACTGTATGTTCATATACGTCTTGTCTCATATGTAGGTTTGCGAACTATGATCATTGCGTTGTGCCACGTGTTCCAGCCCGCGTACTTTAGCGTGCTGCGGCCGTTCCTATGCTGTCATTGCGTTTCGTGCGCATTTATTGCAGCATCGCTTCAGCTGTCTAATCATCAAAATTTTATTTATATATATATATATATATATATATATATTGTGTGAAGTGGCAGTTTTGCCCTTGCCCTTTAGCCTCCTCTGCGCTGTGATTTTCGCGCATGATGATTGCGGTTTCCATCCACGATCGTGGCAGTTATAAGTTGAGGGTGAAAGTACTTAAATAACCCTGACCTTTGCTATTCACACTTCAGTAGTCGTTTGCTTGGCTATATAAGCCATCTTCCTCTCTCACCTGCTTTCGTTTAGCTTTTGAGCATCGTGCACCAGCATTAGTTGTTTGTTTTCGTGTGCGTGTTTTATGAGTTTTGTGCCCCATTTCTGCTTTGGTTCTTCGTCTTCCTTCAACAAGTATTTGCACATATTTGTAGTTTTTTGTCGATTCTGTTGTGTGAGTCTACACTTGAACATTTTGTCTACTAGTAAGTTTTTTTTTTTTTTTTTGAAGATGTATATGTTGCATCGTCGATTTTTGCTATTTTTCCAGAACCTGTAAAAAACTTCCATAGGGTCATATTTTCAGAAGTTGTATGTTCCCTCCTATCGTGCGGATGATCATCATCTTGCTCTTCTCCTCCTCCTTTTGCTATTTGACATTTAGTATTTTTCAATTTTTGACCAAATGAGGGGGAAAAACCCATTTTCTTCAGCTTTGTGTTTTAAAGGGCAGAGGGAGGAAAACCCTGATTTTTTCAAAAAGATTCCTCCAGGTGCTCATTTTTGGCTTTGGGGGATTCCCAAGACTAAAGAAGAAGAGCAAGAAGCTATGCTTCGAGGCTGCCGTGGTGGTGGATCTCGGCGAAGGGCCGAGGTGTCGAATAGGGAGTTAGGGTCTCAGCGGGGTAGAGGTTGTTCTTCCCGGAGTAAGTGCCTCAGAAAAAGTAGTCCTTCAGTTCCATCTTCTCTACCCATGACCACCTCAGGTTCACGTTCCAAGATCCCTGCTTTGCCCTATCCTTCCTCTGTCTCAGGAGGTGTCCCATGTTATTCTTGCGTCTACCTGAGTTCTAAGCTTGTCGAGCAAGGATGTGACTCGTTGGCCGAGTCCACATTGGAAAGTTGCCGGCATGGAATTTTCTTTGGATCGATGTCGGCATCTGGTGGGGCCAATGATCCGATTACTCTTTCCGACGTGCCCAGCTCTTCATCTTCTAGTGACTCATTGTCTGCTAGTATTTTTGATGCAGGTATAACCATTCTTTCCTTCTTATTTAAAATTTCTTATTTTTCTAGGCATATATGGCATCTCCCCCTCGAGAGGTAGTAGAGGAATCAGGTTCTGCCGAGTCACGTTGTGGGCCTCCGCCATCCTCATTGACATCCCAGTTTCCCTGGGTGACTCATGAGGTTTTGAATACCACGTCCGAGCTTTCTGTGGAAGACATGTCTAGACTTTCAGTCGGGTTGGTTGAAAACTTTGACATCGTAGCCCCTGTAGAAGACGAACCCGTATGTTCTGGTGGAACTGAAGAGGGTCCTTACTTCTTTTTCTTCTACCGAGATTTCATTACTCAACTTGGAATCCAATTTCCGTTGACCGAATTTCAAATAGAGATACTCAATCATCTTCACATATGCCCTACACAACTCCATCCCAACGGGTGGGGTTTCGTTAAGGCCTTTGAGCGGTTTTGTGCCTACCTTGTTCTTCGCCCTTCCGTTATGGTTTTCTTTTTCTTCTTTCAAGTCATCTCTTGCCAAACTGGTCGTGAACCACCAGAACTGAAAGGCTGGATTACTGACCGAGGTGTTCCTGGTCGTAGACTCTTTAAGGTCTATACAGAGTCCTTTAAGGGTTTTAAAAAAAAGTTCTTTAAGGTGTGCGCGCATCCCGGTAAGGAGGTATGGTTTCTCCAATACTGTGGCACGAAGGAGGTAGAGGGAAAATTTCCCTTGTGTTGGTCACCCGATCATTTTCATTTTCCTCCTACCAGCTACCGCTTTAAAGAATCCTAGTTAGACTGCAATGATATTAATACAGTGATCGCCATCGGTACATATCTTCAGACGCATCAACATGCTAGCGTTGCGTCTCTTATTTATAAATCTCAAGAGGAGCTTGATGCCGAATTAAGTATTCCTAATTGCTATATTGAAATGCTTTATATTCCGCTTAACAACTGATTTCATTATTTTGCTTTATTTTGCTTTTCAGTTCCCCAAATGGAAAAGCAACCAAACACTCCTCCAAGTTGGTTGGCCGATTTGACCAAAGGAAAGAACGAGTCTACCTCCGGGTTGTTGCAGAAGGATATTTCCCCTGGGGTGGGGAAAAAGAGGAAGGTGTCCGAGCTGAATCCGCCCAAGGATGCTGTCAACAAGACAAAAGCCAAGGTGACAGAAAAAGGGGAAGTTAGGAACAAAGGCAAGGAGATCCCTACCGAAAATGTTCCGTTATCCCCTCCTCGGCAAGTGATGGAACCCCCTCCTCCTACTTCGGGTTCTGGTTTGGCCAAGCATGTCGTATGGCAATCCGAGATGTTTGATGCTATTCGAGAGGCAGTTTGTCCGCCTGAGTCTCTCT